CGTGTACCCGCGTGTACGTGCGTGTATCTGCGTGTACGTACGTGTACCCGCGTGTACGTGCGTGTATCTGTGTGTACGTGCGTGTATCTACGTGTACGTGCGTGTACCCGCGTGTATCTCCGTGTACCCGCGTGTACGTGCGTGTATCTGTGTGTACGTGCGTGTACCTGCGTGTACATGCGTGTACCCGCGTGTACGTGCGTGTGCGTGTACACGGGTACACGGAGATACACGCACGTACACGCGGGTGCACGCGGGTATACGCACGTACAAATATAATAGAAAAATAGAAAAATATAATGGATATATATATATATACATATATCTGCGTGTATCTGCGTGTACCTGCGTGTACGTGCGTGTACCCGCGTGTACCCGCGTGTACGTGCGTGTACCCGCGTGTACGTGCGTGTACCCGCGTGTATGTGCGTGTATCTGCGAGTACGTGCGTGTACCCGCGTGTACGTGCGTGTACCCGTTATATATATATATATATTATACAATAGGGCAAACTAGAAGAGTGCTTCACAGCGTTGCTAGTCTAGCTCTACTGCTTCCCTCACCACCTATTTCTTGATAACGTGTTCCATCAGCTTCGCTTCCGCGTTGCGTCAATCGTAATAAAGGACACGCCTATATAAATAAACAACGAGATACACGTACACGTGTTCACGTTTATCCGTTTCTTTTGGCCGAACAGCTGTACTAAAGACTGTATTTGTTAATTTAATTTATTCACATGTAATACCGTAAATGATTAGATCACAGGTATAATTTATTATGCCTTTTAAGTGCAGCACTCGTTCAGCGCGCTGTGTAAAGATAAGTGCTTATTTGTACGTTAAATGCCCCGTACAGACTACGAATTTTAGCGCGCGTCAGACGCGCGTCTAAATCTTAGCACGCGCTAAGACCTTAAGGCCTTAAGGCTTTAAGGCCGCAGAGTATGCTAACCAGGAGCGTACAGACACAAAACTCTGAAGCGGGCTAAATGAATCATAAGTTCTCCCACCGCTCAGTTCCCTGCTCGCCACGTCAACCCACAGACAGCGAGGTACGGCGAGCGTGCGTGCGAGCGAGCGTACGTGACCTAAATAAGGCTATGCGCATGCGCATTGCGAAACTTAGCGCGAGTTAGGCAGCGATTGCGTGCAGACACAAAGTTAGAGCGGGATAACTTGGTGCGCACCAAGATAGCCCTGCGTCGCTAGCGGGGCCAACTTGGAGCGGGATATAGCGTGTACACACTGCAATGTTTAGCGCGCGCTAGTTTAGTACCATATCAAATTCGTAGTCTGTACGGGGTAAAACTCTCTCGTACCGCTACCAGCTTCTTAATCACAATTTGCGGAGTTATGTGTTATTGTATGTACTATATGTTATCTGAAACATATAACTCCTATTCCTATATATTTTTGGCATTCTTAAAAATACATGAATATGTGTACTGCGTATTTGGTATACCATATTTTCATAAATTACGATTATGTAAAAATTACAAGATTGCACACTAGCAGTGTACTATTTAAAGATCCAACACTAAACCTGATATAGGAGTAATATGCTGCAGTATGATTATGCCTGACTTGAAACTCTTTAAAAAAATTGAAGCAGATTGCATAAAATCAGGAGATGACATACATCGGGTAATTGTTCAGCGTTTGTAATGCCGATCTGCAAAAAATAACGTTTTTAGCCTGTTTTAGCAATGATTTCCGGCCTTCTATATAGGCTGATAATTATTTCCCCTAGATTGAATAATTTGTGGTGTTATGAGTGGGTTTATGATTGTTGTCCTGCTAATTAGCTGTGGTTTGAAGATGAGGCCGCATATATCCGTCCCCACATTCTCCCCTAATCCATACATGAATATATTTTATGAAACTATAACGGAACTAATATGAGAATGACCTAACCGTTGTCATACTGCCATTCCTGCTACTGTGACTACAATGTCTATATATATATATATATATATATACTATCAATGATACTATGCGCAATTACGGCATATAAATCCTGGTCGGCAATGAATCAGTAAACGTATGGATCTGATCCAAGGAAAATTACGCCTCGCCGTCACCCTTTGACATTTCCGAGTAGAGGGAAGACTTGTAAGAGAGAGAGCGAGAGAGAGAGAGAGAGCCTAATTGCCAGCGGTTTCCGATACGTGCTACTTGGCGATACACAAATCCTAATGTGGCTTCGCATCTATATCGAAAGCTAGCGATTTCTCATGTCGTTTCTCGGAAATCCGCTACCTTATGATACCATGTCAAAGCGACCGCGTTCGAGGCAGCCGTGTTGCAAGCCATGCAATTTACGAGATGTTGTTTCGTCGCGATACATGATCCACGCGGATTCGCGCGTGATAGACTGAACGCTGGTCCGTCGGGCAGCGTTGCTGGGGAGTAGCGGGTATATTCGTCATCGTAAATCCACTTAAATACTGCGCGAGATCAAGGAGCTGTGTTACAGCTTGGAGTAATCATTCTGACTATATAGACTGACAGTATAGCTGGAGTTGTTAGAATGATTACTGCAAGGTGACAAACTGCCTAATATATGTGGCTGCTCGAGACTATAGCCGTCCGTCTAGTGCCTCGTCTTCCCATCGATATCCCATATTATCAGGAGTGAATGAAAACAGGGCTAACGAATGTTGATTTCCAATTATTAAACCTTGCGCACTTCTCCTGATATAATATTACCAGGAGTATTCTCTATTCATGTATTATGATTATTATATGTTATGTGTGTGCCTGTTTGCGTGCGTGCGGGCGGGCGGCGGGCGTGCGTGCGTGCGTGCATGCGTACGTGTATGTGTGTGTGTGTGTGTGTGCGTGCGTGCGTGCGTGTGTGTGTGTGTGTGTGTGTTTGTTTGCGTGCCTGCGTGCCTGCGTGCATGTGTGTGTGTATATATATATTGGCATGGTTAGCAGAGCGCATGGCGCATCTGACCTTTATTTGCCTATGCGCATCGTATAGTGGTAAGCTCGGCACTGGGGGTAAAGAGCTCACGCTACTCCTGCTCCGCGCGGCAACCCCCCCCCCCTCTCTTACTTTCCCGCATGCCTTCTTCGGGAGTGATTGTTGCTTTTCTTCTGCGACGGTCGTCGCGGGCTTCGCACACGTCGCGATCTGCTCAGCAGCGCGCATGCGAAGAGAGGCTGCTGCGTAATTACGCACGCGTCATGCACGCTGTGTCGCACTGACTCACAGATTAATCCATCAGAGCGTTGCGACGAGACCTGCAGACCGCCGAGTGGCTCTATTCCCGCCGTCACATCCGTGAATTTTGCTTTCTTGACGATGAGAGGCCGAGTGGCTCTATTCTCGCCGTCACATCCGTGAATTTTGCTTTCTTGACGAACAGGAGCCGAGTGGCTCTATTCCGCGCACGTCAACATCTGTGACATTTTTGGCTTTCTTGACGAACAGGAAGCCGAGTGCCTCTATTCCCGCCCGTCACATCCGTGGAATTTTGCTTTTCTTGACGAACAGGAGCCGAGTGCTGCCTATTCCCGCCGTCACATCGTGAATTTTGGCTTTCCTTGACGAACTAGAGAGAGCCGAGTGGCTCTATTCCCGCCGTCACATCCGTGAATTTTGCTTTCTTGACGAACAGGAGCCGAGTGGCTCTATTCCCGCCGTCACATCCGTGAATTTTGCTTTCTTGACGAACAGGAGCGATTAGGTTCGGGGACGTGCTGTCGCGCGGGGAGTGCCGAGCGTTGGTGCGCCAGCTGCGAGACTGCGCGCTGCCGTTCCAGTGTGCGCACTGCCGCCCCGACGTAGTGCCGCTCTTCCACACCAGCCAGCTGGCCGCGCTGCAGGAGAAGGTGTGTATATGGTTGAGTGAGACGTGTGCATGGTGACAATGGGAGAGGCTTTGTGGAAGTCGGTTGGGTGGGGGTTGGTGGAAATTGGTTGGGTGTGGTGGAGCATGCATAGAATGAGTGAGGGATGTGGCAGGAGGGTGATTTGGAGGCTATGCGGGAAGGCAGGGTGCATGTCGGGTGGTGGATAGTGGGAGATGGGTGCAGCCAGGCAAGAGTGATGAGTGGTAGCGGAAAATTGGGAAGTGTGAAGACGGGATGTGTGAAGGGAGGTTAGGGTTCAGTTTGTGTGTTTATCGTTGCATAATGTAAAAAAATGAAATGGATGTGCTCAGTGATGTAAGATAGAAGTCAAGGAACATATGGGGCGCATGTGAATATCTGTGTTGGTCGACAAGGGTAAATATAAACTACATCGTGCATGTACGAGTATTGAACGAGCGAGGTGCAGTAGAGTGCTTGAAGAGGTGAATAAGATGTGAGAATGAGAGAAAACGCTGCGTTAGAGCATGAAGGCTTGTTGATGAGGCGTATGCAAAAGCAGGTGTAATGTGTAACGAAGGAACACATACAGGAGGAGCTAGAAGTAGATGCGGAGATGTAGTAAATGAAGTAGATGAAGTAGATGTGGTTACTAGGTAAGAGCGTCGAGTCACCCTGCTGAGAAAATGGTCAGTAACTGCGCCTCCTCCATCTCTCTATGAAGAGGGATTAACTGCCGAACTTTTAACGATTTTGTATTCTTAGAATGGATAAGTAGTCAGAATTTCGGTACCAAATACCTAACTACTAGCCACTACACTATCAGTTATATTAAGCTAGCCTACTGACATGACAAGACAGAATCCGTGGAAGAAAGTTGGTGGAAGCGCGAGTGTATGTTGGTTGCTATGTGTGACGCATGTTTTTTCCAGCGTTCGACAAAACCACGACTGTACATGCTGAAGCGAAGGAACCCTCTGCTAACCGCCAACTGGGTAAGTAATAGCGTTGGAAAGCTTGGAGCATTTCTCTGAATTTTTTCAATTGTAATACATTCCGTGCTTAAATTTATAATTATATAACGTCAAATTGTTTGTCGACTCATCACTCTGATGGCATGTGTAAGGCTGGTTTTTCGTGACTCATTGCCCTATGGCGCAATCTTATATTGTATAGTATTACTGTGCCACACATGCGGGCAACTTGGAAAGCTTGCAAAATCCTGATTTCAAAGATGGAACGTAAATGAATTTTAAGTAAAAGCAAGCGCAAGTGTGCATTAGCCGAATCTTTGCTGTCCGCTGCGCGCGAATGTTTGGCATTTGTATTTTACAGCGTGATAAATGCGATCGTTTATTCTCGGATGTGCGCGAACGCCTTTTTAAGTTTATCTGTCTGAAGATCTTTCCTTTGTAAACAGCCGCTTCACGCGAAGCCAGTGTCGATTCTACTGCTCTTTTAATGGATATTGACGGGTTTCACATATAGTCGGCTATTTATTTTGAATTGACGCCTGGATTGATTCGTTAAAACAACCATGCTGCTAACAGCCATTTTAGAAGCTCAACAACCGTTACACATTGCCAATCAAATCTCAATCGTTCGGATGTAGCGGATGCTACGGAATGCCATCGTCTCACGCGTGCGGTTTGCGATCGAGGGCAATGGGTGATGCCCCATTTGGAGCGTTCCCAACTTTAATGTCATTATTTATTAATTTCGTGATATAAAAGAGATATAAAGGGGGCGGATCGATATAAATTAGATATCAAGGGTGGGTTAGATATGAAATAGATATCAAGGGGGGTTATATATAACGATATAAAAGAGTTATTAAACTTTTTTATAATTAAAATTTGCTTCGTTTCGCTGGACTTCGTTGCGCTAGACTTCGCTGGTCGAGCCAGCAAAATAGAGACCAGGGGTATGTTCGCTTCCTTGTGAGGAAGAGAGAGGGAGAGGAGAGCGAGATGGAGGGAAAGAGGTCGAGTGAGAGAGAATGAGAGATAAAGAGATAGAGATCGTTAGAGAGGGAGATAGAGAGGTCGAGTGAGAGAGGGAAAGAAGGAGAGTGAGAGAGGCAGTTTGTTGACAAATCTGTCTGACAAATCTAATGGTCGATAATCGGCTTAGACACAGGCACTTGGAGCGTTTCAATAAAATATAATGCTAAATAAATTCGAAATCTATTTACTACCAAAGTCTTAATGTTTCTATACTCTCTTTCACTTATTCTTGCCGACAATTTCCTGTAAATGCTGTCAACAAACGCTCAACAAACTTCTTCAACAAATGAAGGAGCAGCGAAGGCGAGCGAAACGAAGCGAAGATGCCCCCGCTCTGTATTTCGCTTGCTCGAGCAGCGAAAGTATGAAAATTGGTACACTTGCATACTTTTGTATGCTCTTTCATTTAAAGACAGGACATACGCGATCCAGCTACAACTTCGGCCGCCATCTTGAATTCAAAAATGGCCGCCGTCATTTCTTAAAAAATAGATATATCTCGGTTAATAATCTTCGTACAGACTTGAAAATTGACTGACAGGCGTAATTTGGGTTACTATTTCATAAAACAACGTGATGCATGTGATCCAAGGGCGTTTTCGGCCGCCATCTTGAATTCAAAAATGACCGCCGTCATTTCTTAAAAAATAGCTATATCTCGGTTAATAATCTTCGTACAGACTTGAAAATTGACTGACAGACGTAATTTGGGTTACTATTTCATACAACAACGTGAAATAGCTATATCTCGGTTAATAATCTTCGTACAGACTTGAAAATTGACTGACAGACGTAATTTGGGTTACTATTTCATACAACAACGTGATGCATGTGATCCAAGAGCGTTTTCGGCCACTATCTTGAATTTAAAATGGCCGCCGTCATTTCTTAAAAAATAGCTATATCTCGGTTAATAATCTTCGTACAGACTTGAAAATTTACTTACAGACGTAATTTGGGTTACTATTTCATACAACAACGTGATGCATGTGATCCAAGGGCGTTTTCGGCCGTCATCTTGAATTACTATTTCATACAACAACGTGATGCATGTGATCCAAGGGCGTTTTCGGCCACCATCTTGGATTCAAAATGGCCAACATAAAAATCACAAACTTAGCAATATTTCCGTTCACGGAAGATATAGAGACGTGAAAATTTGCAGACTGGTGCAGGTTAATAAGCTCTTTCATATTAAAACAAGACACACAAGTTTCAATTATAATTACAGCGGTTATATTGAATTCAACATGGCCGCCATCACATTTTACTCTGTACTTCAAGAGTTAATTGAAGACAACAAGTTGTAGTATACAGTACACAAGAACATGCATGGCAAGCTAAATAATACTATTGTTTAAGTTAAACAAATTTCTCGAGACTGCATTGTCCACAAGTTGTCGCAGATTGTCACTCAGTGCGGTAACATGTACCTGCACAAACACAAATGTAGTACTTGTATGTACAGTATAGTATCTGTTATGTGCGTGCGTTCTCGCGGGCGTATAGCCTAGGTATCTGTTGTGTGCGTGCATGCTCGCGCGCGGGCGATAAGGTATCTGAATATGTGGGCGTGCGTGCTCGGCGCGCAGTATATAGCTATCTGTTATGTGCGTGCGTGCGTTCTCGCGGGCGTATATAGGTATCTGTATGTGCGTGCGTGCTCGCGCGCGTACTATAATAGCTATTTGTTATGTGCGTGCGTGCGTTCTGCGCGGCCGTATCGGTACTGTTATGTGCGTGGCGTTCTCGCGGGCGTATATATAGCTTCTGTTATGCGCGTGCCGTTCGCGCGGGTAATAGTATAGTACGCTGTTTATGTGCATGCGTGCTAGCGCGCGTAATATAGCTATCTGTCATGTGGCGTGCGTGCCGTTCTCGGCGGCGTATAGGTACCTGTTATGTGCGTGCGTGCTCGGCGCGCGTATATCTATCTGTTATGCGCGTCCGTGCTCGCGGGCGTATATGGTATCTGTTTATGTCCGTGCGTGCTCGCGCGCGTATATACTATATAGCTATCTGTTATGTGCGTGCGTCTCGCGGCGTATAGGTATCCTGTATGAGCGTGCGTGCTCGCGCGCGTATATAGCTAACTGTTATTTGCGGCGTGCGTTCTCGCGGGCGTATAGGTACCTGTTATGTGCGTGCGTGCCCGCGCGCGTATATAATAGTTATCTGCATGTTTATGTGCGTGGCGTGCGTTCTCGCGGCGTATAGGTACCTGTTATGTGCGTGCGTGCTCGCGCGCGTATATAGCTATCTGTTATGTGCGTGCGTTCTCGCGGCGTATCGCTATCTGTTGTGCGCGTGTGCGTGCGTGCTCGCGCCGCGTGTATAGGCTTCTGTATGTGCGTGTGTTCTTGGCGGCGTATAGGTATCCTGTATTGTGCGTGCGTGGCCTGGGCGCCTATATAGCTATCTGTTATCGTGCGTTGCATGCTCGCGCGCGGTATAGGTACCTGTTATGTGGCGTGCGTGCTCGCGCGCGTATAATAGCTATCTGTTATGTGCGTGCGTTCTCGCGGCGTATCGCTATCTGTTGTGCGCGTGTGCGTTCGTGCTCGCGCGCGTATATAGCTTCTGTTATGTGGCGTGCGTTCTCGCGGGCGTATAGGTACCTGTTATGTGCGTGCGTGCTCAGCGCGCCGTATATAGCTATCTGCTAGTGCGTGCATGCTCGCGCGGCGTATAGGTACCTGTTATGTGCGTGCGTGCTGCAGCGCGTATATAGCTTCTGTTATGTGCGTGCGTGCTCGCGCGCGTATATAGCTTCTGTTATGTGCGTGCGTGCTCGCGCGCGTATATAGCTTCTGTTATGTGCGTGCGTTCTCGCGGGCGTATAGGTACCTGTTATGTGCGTGCATGCTCACGCGCGTATGTAGCTTCTGTTATGTGCGTGCGTGCTCGTGCGCGTATATAGCTATCTGTTATGTGCGTGCGTGCGCTCTCGCGGGCGTATAGCTATCTGTTATGTGCGTGCGTTCGTGCTCGCGCGCGTGAGTTTTGAACCGCTTGTGTACACGTCGCGTTTACTTGAAGAACGGCACGTTGAAAATGCGTGTTTAGAACTCCACGATAAAATGCGTGTTTTTTCCATCGTTTCCAACGCGTGTTGGATACGGCACGTGTCGATTTGGCCGGCTGGGTATTAACCTGCGCCAGTCTGCAAATTTTCACGTCTCTATATCTTCCGTGAACGGAAATATTGCTAAGTTTGTAATTTTTTATGGCGGCTATTTTGAATCCAAGATGGTGGCCGAAAACGCCCTTGGATCACATGCATCACGTTGTTGTATGAAATAGTAATTCAAGATGACGGCCGAAAACGCCCTTGGATCACATGCATCACGTTGTTGTATGAAATAGTAACCCAAATTACGTCTGTAAGTAAATTTTCAAGTCTGTACGAAGATTATTAACCGAGATATAGCTATTTTTTAAGAAATGACGGCGGCCATTTTAAATTCAAGATGGTGGCCGAAAACGCCCTTGGATCACATGCATCACGTTGTTTTATGAAATAGTAACCCAAATTACGCCTGTCAGTCAATTTTCAAGTCAGTACGAAGATTATTAACCGAGATATATCTATTTTTTAAGAAATGATGGCGGCCATTTTTGAATTCAAGATGGCGGCCGAAGTTGTAGCTGGATCGCGTATGTCCTGTCTTTAAATGAAAGAGCATACAAAAGTATGCAAGTGTACCAATTTTCATACTTTTTTCACAATTTGAACGATTTTTCTTCTAATCTACTGTACTATAATGGAGCAATTTATCTATTTGGGATTTCAATGGTAAGGTACACGAGCCTTTTACTACTCGCGGCATAGATTTGTCTGTCCAAATAAACAATGAGCTGGCCGATAAAGACTGGCTGTGAGACGCGGCGACTCTAGCTCGAGCATCGCTCTGTTTGTAAACAGTGCTGCGCTGCTCGCCGACGTTTCCGCGCTGGCCGGCAGCGAAAGTGCCGCCCTCCCCGCATCACATTTTTGCTTTCACTTTTCAGAGGCAGATGTGAGTGCGCGAGCGCGCGTGTATAGGCAGCGGTGCGTGGCCGGCGGCTGCGGACGAGCGTGCTTCATCAACCACGTGTGAGCCGCCTACATGCGCGTCTGCGTGCGCGTGTAAGCACCCCACGGCCTGCGTTACGGGCCTACTGCTGCAGTAGACGGCTTCGCTCGCAAGCAAGCCGTCATAGCGGGCGGACAGACGGCCAGTGTGTGGCCTGATTAATCAATCATTCACGCTGGTGTGAAACGCCACGTTCTGCCTCCCCCGACAAGGCGTGTGCCGTTACCGCGCGTCTCCTAATATAGAAACTTGTGTGAAGAGACGGCGAGAGGTGATTGCAGTTCATCAGCGCACGTCTAAGCAGTCGGAGTGTCTCGCGAGGTTTTTTCTCGGTCACCGTGAGGCCGTGCAACACAGAGCGAGTGCACTGCCGAATGCATGCGAACAGAACCGACCTAGTCGCACTGTCCCACAAGAACATTCGGTGTTATCAACGTTTACACAGCGTGTCATAGCTCTGTGCCGCGGGGAGCATGGCAGATGCGCACAAGACAAAGGTTGAAGACAAAGGCCGTGTAACATGCACTTGAGACAAGCAGGATTGCAGTCGAGTGTGCGCAAACAGAGCTGCGGAAAGGGTTTCATTCGGTCCCACCGTCGAGAAAAGATTCTGCCGTGAACAGCCAAGTGTTGCGAACATCTGCTGATCTTTACATCTACACAGCGTCGTGAACGTCTGTCATTAGCATCTATACACCGTTGTGAACGTCTGTGTCATTCACATCTATACAGCGCTGCAAACTTCGGAAGAACTTCTTTTTTTTATGTACACATCACATTTAAATATGTTCACGTGAAAGTAACAATATCGAAAATATGGGTAAACAATAAGAAAAATTGCTACATAAAATATAGATGGCGACGGATGCGCGCTCGGACGTTGGCGGCGTTGTGATGTGGACGCTGGCGAGCGTCTACGTTCTCATCGCCGTGCTCATCATCATCACGAACATCTGCACGATCGGCGCCGTCGTCGTCTGCCGCAGGCTGCATCAGCCCGTCAACTACTACATCGCGTCGATCTCCGCCGCAAACTTCCTCATGGTGTTCGCCGTCGTGCCCGTCGTCACGATCATGGTGCGCGGCGCGGCGGTGTACGTCGCGAACGCGCCGCTGCTGTGTGACATGCGCGTCGTGCATCAGCTCGCCGGCGACCTCGTCATGGTGCACAGCGTCTACATGATGGTCGTCATCGCCGTCGACCGCTACGACGCCGTGCTGCATCCGGAGAAGCCGGCGTTCACGGCGGCGCGCTGCGCGCTCGTCGTCGCGGCGACGTGGGCCGTCGCGATGCTGTACGCGCTGCCGACGCTCGCGCTCATGACGGCGCGCAAGCACGATGAGTACCGCAGCAATGCGACCATCTCCTACTGCTACCTGACGGCGGGTGAACTCGCCGCAAAGTACTATACGGATCTCGCGATCGGATACGTGATCCCGCTCGCGCTCACCGCCGTGCTGTACGGTAGGATCGTCTGCCAGCTGCGCGCTCAGCGGAGGCGCACGCCGCGCGGCACCGCCGAGGTCTGCTGGAAGAAGCGCAGCATCAAGATGGCTGTCGCCATCTTGGCGCTGTTTGCGACCTGCTGGCTGCCGATTCACGTCATCCTGCTTACGTCGCTCGCGCGCGATGTGCGCCCCGAGCTGCTGCTCGCTGTGCGCCACCTGGCGACGATACTCGTCTTCTGCAACAGCTGGATCTACGTGGTGATCTACGCGTACTACAACGCCGACTTCCGACTGGCCGTGACGTCGTTGGTGTTTGGAGACTGGCGGCGGTGCTGCCGCAGACAGGAGTCGCGGGCGGGGAGTGCCAGCAACTTGAACAACCTGAGTGTTGTTGCGAGTGCGCAACGACTCAGCAATATGGATCTCGCTAGTTAACGTATGGCTTTTTCAAGTGTTATTTATTGATGTTCTGTACACCTAGGTCGATTTTATTTATAAGTATTGTATTTATTTTTTTGTTGATGTTATTTTCCTGTACATGAACATAAGTGTACCCCCAGTCATATATAAATAACTCGCATAAAGAAAAAAACAGCCAGAAATAGGGTGTTCATATGAGATTAGTTGTAATCTATTTGTATTTGTTGTTGTTTTTTGCTTTCTTTTTAAATATTAACAAATACTATTTTGCTGTCATTGTTTTGTATAACAAGGGTATTTACTATAATATAATAAGTAGCATAGTAATGGGCTGAGACAGTGGTTTCTAAGGGTTTTGACATGACTCCATCGCTAATTTTCCTATATATATATTTTTATATATATAATGTATACGTATATGCTATTACTTAGCTGTAGTGGCAAGTAGGTCCTAACTGTGAAAGCTTCCAGAAGTCAGTTTTGTTTTACTGACAAACTAGTTCGTGTTATTACCAAATAGCTAAACAATGTGTTACTGTACCTGCAACCAGCTAGTGTCAAAGTTTCACGTGACAGTATACAGCACTGCCTTTTGTAGGGTACCGGTAGATACAATAATGTAACCCAACACGGCAACACAAGAATAAGGGAACTTGTGTTGGGTTAAATTATTGTGTCCAGTGGTGTGCTCATCTCACCTAGAGATTGAATATAAGAATATTTTAGAAGATATGTGCTGTTTTTGCCGAAAGCATTGATGTTGAACGTGGGATGTGTTATATGCGAGTTCCTGTAAACTGTTTTATTATAGGAAGGCATGCGACATGATACCAAAGCCTATCAATTGTCGGTACTTACATATATTCATATTGCCTTTCTGATTTTGTTCCTTTGTGAAACTTTTCATTTATATTATGCCTTCAGAAGAAAGATATTGAGGCTTTTAATTGTCATAATTTATTTATTTATATTAATTAATGAGATGTGGATCATTTGTTGTATTGTTATTTCTTCAAAAACTTGTTATTCCTTTGGCAAATAAAATGTTATTTTCATACAATATCTATCAAATTAACTGCATTTCCCAACTATAGCAGTCACCAAAATCACTATATTCACGTATTGGTGCTTAAGCAGCTTCTTCAATAACTACTGAAATATCTTCAGTATTGCAAATACCGTACACCATACCTTATACGGTCTCTTTATGCGGTTTTTGTTATTATCTCGTGTACTCCTACATGCCGTGTAGTCACTGCAGAGTGGCGCCACCGTGTGTATTGAAATGGTTAGAATGAAATTGCGTGAAACAGCAAGTACTGTGTGGTTGTCAGGCATTGTAGTAAGAGGTCCCGTGTTTACCATATTACATGCGTTTTTACTGCATCATTTGGTTTAACGTTCAACTTAACTGGATAACAATGGTTCACAAACCTGTGGAAATAAATTTTACATCATTTTTAATAAGGAAGGGAAAATATAAAATAGCTGTGCTAAGTATTGCTACTATACTGTCCTGAAACACAACATTGTCATTTGCTTTACCTTCATACTCGAATTTGGGCTGTCTTTTTCAGTGTTTATAAATGGTGACCATCTTGGTCGTCGGGGAGACATTCCTCCCAACCTCGTTCCAGGAATTCCATAAACTTTGTCAGGAACGAGGTTAAAAACATTGATTGTTAGGAACGAGGTTTAATCAACAAATGAACAGTCAATATTGCACCTAATGAAATAGTTGTTATAGAATATCTGCATTGCGCCACATTCTTACCCATTCCGCGCACATTCCGCTGTTTAGTAGCACATTTCGCTGTTTAGTATAACATTTTTTACACATTTTGAACATTTTT